TTGTTGTTGTTGTTGTTTTGTTTTGAGACGGAGTCTCGCTCTGTCGCCCAGGCTGGAGTGCAGTGGTACGATCTCCACTCACTGCAAACTTCGCCTCCCGGGTTCAAGCGATTCTCCTGCCTTAACCTCCTGAGTAGTGGGGATTACAGCTGTGCACCACCACATCTGGCTATTTTTTGTATTTTTAGTAGAGACCAGGTCTTACCATGCTAGCCAGGCTCATCTCGAACTCCCAACCTCAGGTGATCCACTTGCCTCGGCCTCCCAAAGTGCTGGGATTACAGGCATGAGCCACTATGCCCGGCCTTCTCTGAGTTTTTTAAGGAGTCTGAGTCATTAGAAGTCTTTTCTAGATTTTTTTTTAAATGTGGTATTGGAGATGGCAAAGAGGAAGGAGGAATAGGGTGGAGTAAAAGTGAATGGGAGAATAGATTTTAAGAAAGGAAGTGAGGCCGGGTGCGGTGGCTCAAGCCTGTAATCCCAGCACTTTGGGAGGCCGAGACGGGCGGATCACGAGGTCAGGAGATCAAGACCATCCTGGCTAACACAGTGAAACCCCGCCTCTACTAAAAAAATACAAAAAAACTAGCCGGGCGAGGTGGCGGGCGCCTGTAATCCCAGCTACTTGGGAGGCTGAGGCAGGAGAATGGCGTAAACCCGGGAGGCGGAGCTTGCAGTGAGCTGAGATCCGGCCACTGTACTCCAGCCTGGGCGACAGAGCGAGACTCCATCTCAAAAAAAAAAAAAAAAAAAAAAAAAAAAAAAAAAGAAAAAAGGAAAAAAAAAAAAAAAAAAAAAAAAAAAAAAAGAAAGGAAGTGAATAGAGACATCAAGCACATTTTTAAAAAAAGATTTTAGTCAACTGAACAAAATTTGTTTAAATAGGATTTAAAGAGAAAACACAGGAAGACTTTAAAAATATACACATAGCTTGAATATTAGCTTTTAATTAAGCTGACTTCTAACCGTGGAGCTCTTTAACAAAAATTCTTTTAAATTTCTCTCTCTCTCTCCCCCTTTAAAACTTTTTGTAGGCACGGGTTTCGCCCTGTTGCCCAGGCTAGTCTCAAGCCCAGGGAACTTCTGGGCTAAAGCGATCTGCCCGCCTCGGCCTCCTAAAGTGGTAGGATTACAGGTGTGAGCCACTGTGCTTTGCCTTAAATCTCTTGTTACCAGATTTTAGTTGGGACAAATGCTGATATTTTAAAAATCACATAAATTTTAAGCTGAAAAGGACTGATTTCTGATTAGGAAGGAAACCCTAAGCCACGGCGGGAATTTTAATTATTAAACTGTAAAATGGAGCAGCCTCCATTGTTAATTTTGTATGGAATCCAAAATGGCAGTTTGAGTGTAATTGTTTTAGGTCAGGTTTTCATGCTTTAATCAAGACAAGTTTTAAGGATAGCTATGACACTATTATGTGTCCTTTTAATTTGGTCTTCCTATCAATTCTTTAGAACAAGTGATTTCTTTTTTTAATTTAGGAATTTTAGTCTAAAGGATTTATCTTTTGACCATTGACAATTAGATTTTTTAATGGGGTATTTAATTCCAATAGCGACTTAATCCAAAGGTTTCTTTATGTCAAAGAAGACAGAAGCCCAGGAGGGATGAGACCTTGTGAGACAAAACTCCTCTAGGAGCTTGGAATGTTTGAAAAGACATGTCTTGGGCTCCCAATCTTTTCATACTGGCTGTGATGTTACCCGAAAAATCACATCCTTTGGATGGTGGAGACCAAGCGGGAATATCCCCATCTAGTCACGTCATGCTCTCAAGGACATAAGACGAGGGAAACCTCTCACCCTGTTTTTATTTCAGGGACTGGCAGCAAAGTTTGTCATAACAGAAATTAGTCTAACCAGAACCACGAAACTGACTGGTTTGCAGGGCCTGCTCAAACAGTGGGTTGCAGGCCTCTTCTAGCCTAGGGTACCCCTCCTTATGACAGAACACCAAAAGACAAAGACAAAAACAAAGGAAAATGGCAGCAACAACAACAAAAAAGCTATTTCTGAAAGGAACGGGGTCAAACAATATGAATACTCATACCACAAAGTACTAAAAAATATATCAGACTCACTATACCAAGGTTAGTCACACACAAAACCTGTTCTCTCATTAATCTTACATTTGGAAAGGAAAAGGAAAACAATGATTTTTACTGTCCACTCATCCAGAGTCCACAGAGAGAGAGAGGAAAACTGGAAAACCGGGAGTCTGGCAGGAAATTCTTACTCTTCTGCTGGCTTGTCAGGTTCCTGTATTTCCTTCTCTGCGGCTTCCAGAAAAGCACAGTAGCTTTGGTGGTCTTATTTGTGATGCCAAACTGTGGTCTTGGCCCCCTAAAGTTTCAGTGAAAATCACTGACATGAAGCAGATTAATAGGGAAAAAGGCATACAAATTTATTTAATATGAATGGGAGCCTTTAGAATGAAGCCTTGCAGCTATAGGGGAAATTGTCTATTTTTATGTTTAGGTTTAACCAAGTACGGACAACTGTGTAGAAATATGAAGGGACAGAAAGGGCATGATCTAATGTTAACAGATTGAGTGGGGAAACCCCGCAAGGCCTGTCTGTTGAGATTCCTCCTGGCCTCTCTCATTCCTTCCTTCTGGGTGTGGGGCAGGACCCTCTCTGGAATTCTGGAATGGAGGTCTTATGACCTAAGTCAAATAACGTAGGTCAGATAATTTTTTTTTTGAGACGGAGTCTATCTCTGTCAATAGGCTGGAGTGCAGTGGTGTGATCTCGGCTCGCTGCAACCTGCGCCTCCTGGGTTCAAGCCATTCTCCTGCCTCAGCCTCCTGACTAGCTGGGATTATAGGTGTGTGCCACCACGCCCAACTAATTTTTGTATTTTTAGTAGAGGCGGGGTTTTACCATGTTGGTCAGGCTGGTCTCAAACTCCTGACCTTGTGATCCACCTGCCTCAGCCTCCCAAAGTGCTGTCATTACAGGCGTGAGCCACTTTTTTTTTTTTTTTTTTTTTTAGAAAGTTGTATTTTGGGCTTTTTAACTAGCTTGTTTTTTAATTAGATTATTGACTTTAGGTTGGAACCCTTTAATAAACAGGGGGAAGAAAACATAGTTTTTAGGGCCTTATATTTAAATGTGTAAAGCAGGCATAGCTGGAAGGCAGAATACAGATCCTCACCCGTCAAGGATCCCATTTTTATATTGAATCCTAGGCCCCCCCAAGAGGGAAATGTCATGGGACAAGATGTGTGGCATTTTTATTGAGTGCCCCACTGTAAAGATGCTCCCCCAAGGCTGGCAGGCAGCCCAGTGCCGATTAGCCCACTCTGTGCTTAGCTTATTTTTATTTTTATTTTTTTTGAGGTGGAGTCTTGCTCTGTTGCCCAGGCTGGAGTGCAATGGCGTGATCTCGGCTTGCTGCCTCCCGGATTCAAGCGATTCTCCTGCCTCAGCCGCCTGAGTAGCTGGGATTACAGGCACCCACCACCATGCTCAGCTAATTTTTTGTATTTTTAGTAGAGATGGGGTTTCCACATGTTGGCCAGGCTGGTCTCGAACTTCTGACCCCAAGTGATCCGCCCACCTCCGCCTCCCAAAGTGCTGGGATTACAGGCGTGAGCCACCACGCCCTGCGTGCTTAGCCTATTTTTATATTTATTTATTTATTTATTTATTTATTTATTTATTTATTTAGAGACGGAGTCTCGCTCTGTCGCCCAGGGTGGAGTGCAGTGGCCGGATCTCAGCTCACTGCAAGCTCCGCCTCCCGGGTTCACGCCATTCTCCTGCCTCAGCCTCCCGAGCAGCTGGGACTACGGGCGCCCGCCACCTCGCCCGGCTAGTTTTTTGTATTTTTTAGTGGAGACGGGGTTTCACCATGTTAGCCCATGTTGGGATGGTCTCGATCTCCTGACCTCGTGATCCGCCCATCTCGGCCTCCCAAAGTGCTGGGATTACAGGCTTGAGCCACCGCGCCCGGCCGCTTAGCCTATTTTTAATGGGAGTTTCATCCTCAATGGTGAGTGCTTTCATTGTCCTTAGGTGCCCCAAACCATGTGTTTAAAAATTTAAATGCACAAAGAAATAAGTAGCAGTGTATAGTCGTAATAATTTGTTGTGAATAACTGTCATAAGTCATCTCTAAAACTGTATTTTTTATCTAGTTATTATATATGACTAGCTATACGTCTAGTTTTTTTTTTTTTTTTGAGACAGAGTTTCATTCCGTCGCCCAGGCTGGAGTGCAATGGTCGGATCTCAGCTCACTGCAAGCTCCGCCTCCCGGGTTTATGCCATTCTTCTGCCTCAGCCTCCCGAGTAGCTGGGACTACAGGGCCCGCCACCTCGCCCGGCTAGTTTTTTGTATATATTTTTTTTAGTAGAGACGGGGTTTCACCGTGTTAGCCAGGATGGTCTCGATCTCCTGACCTCGTGATCCACCCATCTCGGCATCCCAAAGTGCTGGGATTACAGGCTTGAGCCACCACGCCCGGCCTGGTTTTTTAAATAATACAAAGTAATTTATTTTTGGCATCCTCAAAAACCAAAGAGATTAGGTAATGTAGTGTAGAAGAGAGCAGAGTTTTAGACCTGAGAAGAATCTGCCCATGACTCTTGAAACTCCACAACGAAAGTAGGAGACCCCAAAAAAGGGGTGAGTGTCATCTTTTCAGAGGTTTTTTTTTTTTTTTTTTTTTTTTTTTAGATGGAGTCTTGCTCTGTCACCAGGCTGGAGTGCAGTGGTGCAATCTTGGCTCAGCCTCCTGAGTAGCTGGAACTACAGGCATGCACCACCGTGCCCAGCTAATTTTTGTATTTTTAGTAGAGACAGCATTTCACCATGTTGGCCAGGATGGTCTTGATCTCTTAACCTCGTGATCTGCCCGCCTTGGCCTCCCAAAGTGCTGAGATTACAGGCGTGAGCCACCACTCTCGGCTGGTCAGATAATTTTTTTGGCCAGTTTTTACATAGAGTAATTTTAGGTTTTATGGCTGGCTGTGGGGAAAAGGGGTTCTGGTTTTTATAGCTGGTCTTGGGGGAGAATGTAACTGAGTGACAAGAGGACAGGAGGGGGTCAGATAAAAACTTCTGCTTCTGAGGCTGCTGTTGAGGCCTTTATTTTGGGGTATTGTACAGTGTCAAACCATACACAAACCATACACAGCAGCCAGCTCGGGTGCTGTTAGGAAATGGGCTTATTGCTGGGTCTGTGGGATATGTGTGTGTTGTGTGTGTGGCTGCTTCTGCATCCTCCTCCCCCCGGCAGCCTCCCCGCCTCCCCTCCAGCCACCCTGGGATTGGTGACTCTCAGCCCCTCCCCTCAGCTCCCCTAGACCCACCCAGAGCCTTTATCAGGGAGCTGGGACTGAGTGACTGCAGCCTTCCTAGATTCCCTCCACTCGGTTTCTCTCTTTGCAGCAGCACCGGCAGCACCAGTGTGTGAGGGTAGCAGGCAGTGCTCCCAGCCAGTTCCCTGATCCTGCCGGACCACCCAGCCCCTGGCACAGAGCTGCTCCACAGGTAGGCGGTCGGGAGAATGATGGATGGACTGGAGCTGGCACCAGGGGACAGGAACCAGCGTCAGGAGGGAAAAAGCAGATGGCAGCCTCTGATAGGGGAGCAGGGGACTGGGAAGGTGAGCAGAAAGCACCTGTAGGGCCGAGAACTGGTTAGTGTTTGGAGCCTGTGGCTATAGACTCATTCTTTCATACCAGAAAGTTTTTGCCTAAGTCTTGGGATTATCTAGTACTGGAAAATAGCATCCAGGATCCCTCCTCCAGCTCACTAAGGAAACAGACCAGTCCATGTCCTATAAATCTACCATCTTCCTTGGGAGCTAGAGTCCCCCGGCACCACTATAGCACTGCACATCTCCGGGGGAGATGTCTGATGGGGGAGCAGGGAAACTAAGCCCAAGGGCTGTACCCCCTTCTCAGAAATACTTTCCACCCTCTCTCCAGACCAGGGCTTGGACAGTGGAGTTGGGGGCTGGGGAAGCAGGGTCAAGCCAAGCTGCTGGTAATGAATGTCTCTTGTGCCTTCACCCACGCTGTATCTTCCTCTTCTCTCCCTTACCTGAGTCCTGTCCCTTTGCTCTCCCAGGCACCATGAGGATCATGCTGCTATTCACAGCCATCCTGACCTTCAGCCTAGCTCAGAGCTTTGGGGCTGTCTGTAAGGAGCCACAGGAGGAGATGGTTCCTGGTGGGGGCCACAGCAAGGTAAATCTCACCGGGCAGAGTACTGGGGACATCACGGGAACCTGGGACTCTGCCTGTCTGGACAGCTGTAGTGAGGAAGCTGGGGTGGGTGGGTTGTCCATCAGAGAGCATTTTTCCTCCCTTTCGATTTCTTTGTTTCTCTGGTCCTCTCATGTTCCCACTATCTCCAGCTGTGTTTGTGTCTCTGTATCTCTGCATGTCTTTGACACCTTGTACATAAAAGGTGCCCTACAAATATGTTGCTTGGTGGGTTGATTGATGGGAGACTTGGTGATTGGATGGTACTGTGAGGGGTGAGCTAGGGTGGTCTAAGGCTCTCTATGGTCTACCTCAGACCCCTTTGCAAGGGACAGATCCCTTCTATTCCCTGGATGGTATGAAACAGTCAGAATTTCTTTCCCAAATGGTCATTTGTGTGCTATTTTACCTATCAGTTATGTATATTGTTTTATTTTCAAAATGCAAATAAATTCCCTTATCTTTTGCTCATCCACTCCCAGTAACCTCAGGTGCTTCTAAGATCCCAACGCCTTCCTTCTCTTTTCTCCCTTGCCTGCCTCTATCCTCTGCTTAGTCAGGATAGGAAAACAACAACAGCAAAACAAAAAAAAATCGAGGGTGAACCTCGATTTCCACAGTTCCTCTACGAAAAAGAATAGGAATTGTCAGGGTAGGGATACAGGGGGAGAATAGGGAGGGAGTCTTTTCAAGGTTTTGAAATGACAGCAATTACATCGGTACAAATGCTTTTAAGATGATTACGGGTGGGACTTATTACAAATTCAGTGCATGAAGTTTAACTGCCTCTTCAGCTCAAATCTGTTTAGCATCTCATTACAGGAGGTGGGCAGAGTATTCAACAATTTGGGAAAAGTGGCTGCCTGAACGCCACATGCTGGGCCAAGGGAGATATTGCCAGGGTAGCCTTGCAGGTGGCAGTGGTTGTGCCATATCCAAAAGACCAGAACCATTAAAAAAAAAAAAAAAACACCCAGGCCCAGGGAGTGCCAAGTACGGGCTGGACACCGTTTGGAGCCACAAAGTTCCAGCCCAGGATAGTTAGAGTATCTGGGTTTTTCTGAGACAAACTTGTTTCAGGACTTTGGCCAATGAGATGTCTCCTCTGCCCCTCTTGGTCAATGAATGAGAGGGATTGCCATCCTACCCCTTCTCCCTGAGAGTCTGTAAGGATGAGAGAAATTGGGGCAGGGAGAGGATAGTATATAGGTGTGCCTAGGCAACTGCGTTGGTATGTGTGGGGGTGCGTTCTGTGTAAATGCACTTCTGTGTGTGCACAACAGCCCAAGGATGCATGGCTTCTGGAAAGAGAGGCACTGCCAAGACTTGAGATTTGAGGTGAAAATCTCCAGCCATGATCATTGTTATTGTTTCTCTGCAGTTGCAATTAACTGGCTGTGTGGTGTGTGCCCACCACCCTGCTGTGCCCAAGTTGCTTAAAAAAAAAAAAAAAAAAAGAAATCACAGGACAATCAAGAGCCCGTGCTGGGCAGCAGCTCTAGAACTTGGGGTTCAGTTGTGGAAAGAAGACATGCCTTCTGAGCATGTTGCCTTCCTGGAATTCTAGACCTAGGGCCGAAAAGGGTGGGGGAATCACAGGGGCAGATGTGCGTCTCTAACCTCACCACGCCTGTGAATCACCTAGGGGGCAGCTTAAAATGCAGATTCTGTCTCAGGAGGTCTGGGGTAGGACCAAAAGTCTGCATTTCTAACAGGCTCTGCATAGTGCTGGTGTTGCTGTTGGTCCACAGGTCACTCCTGGAGCACCTACTTCTCGTCCAGTGTAAACCAGAGGAAATTCTGAAAGAAATCGGGTATCGGATTCAGGACGGGCTCAGGAAGAGGCTGTTTCTTGTGGGAAAAGGATGAGTGGATCCGGGTGGGAGCCTCCTGCCTCAGCCCTCTTTGTTTCTTCCCTAGAGGGATCTGGATCTCTACCAGCTACTCCAGAGACTCTTCAAAAGCCACTCATCTCTGGAGGGATTGCTCAAAGCCATGAGCCAGGCTAGCACAGGTAGGAGGTGGCCCTAGGAGAGAGGGGAGTGAGGGGCAGGATTCTGAAGATGAGAGGCCTGGGAGATCCTTTCAGATGGGAGGGAGATGGGGGATAGCTTAGTGAATTGGTGAGGGTTGTGATCTGAACCCCCTCTCATCACTGTCCAACTTCACTCCCCATTTAGACATTTGTTCTTGGTTTCACAGATCCTAAGGAATCAACATCTCCCGAAAAACGTGAGTAGCCTCTTCTCCCTCCCTATCTCTTGCCACTTTCCCAGAGCTCTGTGGGGCATTGGGCCCAGGGGCCATTTTGTCCAGCCCCTTCTCACCTGGTACAAACAATATGCCAGCTCCCACTGCTCAGCCAACCTTTCCTGAAAGGGAGAGGCCATCCAGAACTAGGAGGAAGCTGGTGTGAGGGGCATAGTGGACTCTCCCTCTGCTGGTTGGTCATTGGAAAACAAGAGGATCTCTTGGTGGCCCTGAAGATTCCAAGTCAGGCACCTGCTAGAGCAGAAAATTCTTGAAGTGTGGAGGAAGGAAAGGTGGGCAGAGAGAGTGGGTTTAGGGGAGACACGTGCTAACTGTGAGGAGTCATGCTTTGACAAGAAAAAGGAACAGAGACCAGAAACCCAGTCTCAGAAGTATTGACCCATGTCTGGGAAGATGCATCACTTTCTCATAATCACTGCTGACAATATTGGCCCTTTTCTGCAGGTGACATGCATGACTTCTTTGTGGGACTGATGGGCAAGAGGAGCGTCCAGCCAGGTAGGAGTGTGTGGGGGTACAGTGGAAGGGCTTAGGGTACTGGCAGAGTATGATAGAAGTCACGTGCCCCATATTATTCACCAGAGGGAAAGACAGGACCTTTCTTACCTTCAGTGAGGGTTCCTCGGCCCCTTCATCCCAATCAGCTTGGATTCACAGGCAAGCCTTCCCTGGGAACAGAGGAGCGGAGACCTTTATAAGGTAGACCTGCTGTAGTTGGGAGGAAGGACAGGGAGACTCTGCTTCTCCCGTCTCCCAACTCTGTCTTTGAACGCTGCCCTTCATAGCCAGCCCTTTGCTGTTGGATCAGGGTGTAGTTCACATTCAGAAAGATCCCTCTTACTTACACTGTTCGCTTTACCCTAGACTCTCCTACTGATGTGAATCAAGAGAACGTCCCCAGCTTTGGCACCCTCAAGTATCCCCCGAGAGCAGAATGAAGTAAGGATTGTTCATTAGAGAGGGGAGAGGGGACTGGGGAGGGGGCTGTGGGGGTTGCCAGCTGTGCCTTTCCTCACATGCTACAGGTATTAAAGCTCATAGATTTGCCCTGAAATACACTGCCAGTGCCCAGCACACTGTCAGTCAAACACAAAGACACTTAGAGGCACGTGTATATGTGTGTGTGTGTGTGTGTGTACACATCCTCCCGTCTTTCATCTTTTTCCTCTGGATCATGGACCTCAGCTGACTATTGAGCAGGAGTGAGTGTTGGGAGATGAGGAGAGAGGGGCTTCTCTGATGGGTAACTTCTATTGTTTGGACTTCATTCTTTTGTGGTCTATGCAAAAAGATGGAGAGATTATTATCTGATAATTACAAATACCACAACCAATTCACAGGCAAGCATTTGCCTCCCAGGCAGGCTGAGCCTTTTGGATCACTCAGAATCCTGGGTTACTGGGTCCAGAGGGTAGTCATACACAAGGATGATTCATGAAGAAATGCAAGGAGCTCTGAAATCTAATGGGAGTAGCAGGAAACCATATCTGAATCTCTCTCTTTAGCATAATGAATAGGAACATGGCCTCAATGTGAATCCTGGATCTGCCACTCTATCTGTATCTTTTTGGCAAAGTTACATACCCTCCTGTGCCTCAGTTTCCTCATCTGAAAAATGAAAGTGATAATAGTATCTCGCAGGGTTGTGGTTTTGAGGATTGAGTATAGATAAAGTGTTCAGAACAGTGCCGGGTGCATAGTGCTGTGTGCCAATTTTATAATAATTGTCCCAGTTTGGGGGGTGTGGGGGATGTCCTAATGTTTCCCCTGACTAGCTCTGTCTGGACCCCAGGCCTGAGTGGGCTGACAGATTCCTCACTTGGTATGCGAGTGTGAGAGTCCCCCAGGGAAGTGTCTAGTCAAAACACGAACCTTCTGCCTTGACACTGTCTTACCACACATAGCAATAGCAGCTCTGCCAATGGCTTTCTTTTCACTAGCTTCCAAAGAAGTGGGGCGGGGGGAGTGAAAACGAGAGGGAGAGGGATTGGGAAGGCTCTTAATCATGAATAGCCTCCTGCCTTTCTTCCTGTGTCCCTGTTACCCATACTCATTGGTCTCAAGGTGGCATGCCCAAGACCCAAGGAGCTGGCGCTTGATGATGCTGCCTGTGCATGAATTCCTGGGACCAGAGACTGGGTCTGGCCCACCATTTAGTGTTGGGTGAGAGGGCACAAAGAGCTATAATAACTGTAACTCGCTGATTACATGGTAGTTACTGTATCATTTTGCTCTCATTAGATGGTTATTTCAGTCCTGCCGACGGCCAGATAATTATACAAGCAGCTATATCTGGATGACATACTCTCCTCCAGCGTTATGCACTGGCCATAAAGATAATTACAGTGCAATTTTGCTATAGCATTTTATACAAATGGCAAAAACAAGTGTATTGTGGAAATCTACTTTTAATGCTTGTTTGTGCATCCAGGCTCTTTCAGAGGGACCCATAATTGCAGCCTTCATAATCTTACCACTGAGGGAGCATTCCCAACCTGTTAGGTGTCAGGCAGAATAGGACATAAGGTTTCTGGGAGCCGGATTTAAAGATTACATGAGATGGATCAACAAAGATCATTGTGTCATCTGATTTCATTCATGTGAAACTGTTGAAAAAGGAAGTAGGCCGGGCACGGTGGCTCACACCTATAATCCCAGCACTTTGGGAGGCCGAGGCGGGCGGATCACAAGGTCAGGAGATCGAGACCACGGTGAAACCTCATCTCTACTAAAAATACAAAAAAAATTAGCCGGGCGCGGTGGCGGGCGCCTGTAGTCCCAGCTACTCAGGAGGCTGAGGCAGGAGAATGGCATGATCCTGGGAGGCGGAGCTTGCAGTGAGCCGAGATCGTGCCACTGCACTCCAGCCTGGGGAACAGAGCAAGACTCCGTCTCAAAAAAAAAAAAAAAAAAAAAAGAAAAGAAAAGAAAAAGGAAGTAATCCCTGGGCCTGTCCTTTCTCTAGGAGGTTTCTGGGAAGAGGAGGAACTGGATAAGGCAAGGGGAGCATTCCTAGTAGGGCACCTTGGACAGGGCTGTGTGTATGTCTGGCTCATGGGGGTGCCAGGATGGCATGAACTTAGTTCCTACTTCTTTGGTCCGCATGGGCCCCACTGGCCATGCACACAGGTGTGTAGAGTAATGTAAATATGGCAGCTGGGAAGGTGCAAGTACCTGCTGCTAGGAGAGTTCCATCCTCAGGCCCAAAGCCTGCAGGGCAGGCTGAGGGTCAAGACTCTTGTTCTTTCCTCTCACACAAACGCCCCTCCCCTTCTCTCCTGCTGCCCCAGCAGGTTTTAGTGGGAGTTTTTTTTTTAACAGGACATAAGATGTGATTTCAGTGTTTTTGTTTGTTTGTTTGTTTTTTGTCCTTAGCACTCCACTTCCGGACTCCTGGACTGCATTAGGAAGACCTGTTTCCCTGTCCCAATCCCCAGGTGCACACACTCCTGTTACCCTTTCTCTTCCCTGTTCTTGTAACATTCTTGTGCTTTGACTCCTTCTCCGTCTTTTCTACCTGACCCTGGTGTGGAAACTGCATAGCGAATATCCCCGATCCCAATGGGCATTGACTATAGAATCCCCTACAGTTCCTGTAGTGTCCTACATTAAAAATATAATGTCTCTCTCTACTCCTCAACAATAAAGGATTTTTTCATATGGATGATGTGATGTGTGTGTTTACTCATTTGGTTAGTGGGTTATTTCTGTTCCTTGACTCTTCCAGCTACATGGTAAATACACACATACTTATGATACACACACTTCATATTTAAATGTAAATAACTTTACATATCTTTTTGTATATATCTATTTCGTAAACAGTGCCTTACACAGTGCTTTGCACAATGAGTATCAGATTTATTTAGTAATTAAAATAAACACACGAATTTGGAAGATGGTTTCTAACACATAAAGATTTTCACAGACCAGTTTTAGATAAAGAAAAAACAGGCTGGACCTGGTGGCTCACGCCTGTAATCCCAGCACTTTGGGAGGCTGAGGTGGGTGGATCACAAGGTCAGGAGGTCGAGACCAGCCTGACCAACATGGTGAAACCCCATCTCTACTAAAGATACAAAAATTAGCCGGGCGTGGTGGTGCATGCCTGTAATTCCAGCTACTTGGGAGGCTGAGGCAGGAGAATCGCTTGAACCCGGGAGGCGGAGGTTGCAGTGAGCCAAGATCACGCCATTGCACTCCAGCCTGGGCAACAAGAGCAGAAAACTCCGTCTCAAACAAACAAACAAAAAACAAAAAAGGAAAAAGAAAAAGAAAAAATATATTCAGAATGACTTGTATTACTAGGATGGGCCTGGGAGACATCCATTCCTGAATCTGACCCTACTTAATTAGAGAAGGAGGTGAGGACCAAGGCTGTGCAGAGACCCAGCCACAGAGGAGGATGAATCTATAACACTATACAATTTTTCTGTCTCCAAATGCTGAGCCTGGTTTCTGTGACAGATCCTGGGGATGAAATGATGACTCATACAGAGAGTTTACACTTTAGCAGGGCTGTGGACAAGTAAACAGAACTTGATCCAGCTAGGACAGGGTGTGGACAGGGAAGTTACTACTGAGGCCAAGAAAGAGAGGAGCAGATATCTTCACTGTTAACTGACTGCCTTAGTTATTATAAAGGGAAAACATTATTTCCTCTGACTCCTCTCTAATATGCCTGTTACCAGCCCCTGCAGCTCTGACTTAACAGTCCCCAGAATGTGTAAGGCACTTACATGTGGTATATGCATGGTATGGGTGTCTTTTATTAATCTGAGATGTCAACTATCACAGCCCGTCATCCCAAGGGGGGTTCTGTACCCTAATGGAACAGCCAGTGAAATCCTCAGGCTCCTTATCTTAGCCTGGTACAGGCGCCTTTGTTATGCCCCTGAATTGCACTGATAAAACATCGACACATGGATTTCCCAAGGCAGTGTAGGGACAGGGCCACAGAGCCAGAGGCCACTTCCTGCAGTCCTTTCATTCTAGTGAAAGTTCTGTCTTCCTACAGCCTGACTTGGGGCCACTTTGGAATGACAGCTGTATAGTGGGGGGTGGTGAAAGGAGGGAACACTCACCTTAGTATTACTTATGTCAGCTTTATAGCCAGAGGTCAAAGAATGCTCCCACCCCAGAGCCTAGACCCTTTTTCCAGTGAGTCATCTCTTTGACTTTTCAAAATTATCTATCTATAGGGCTTAAAATGGGGGACACTTAAGCAGAGTCTAGGGACTTTCTTTGGGTCATGAAAGCTATAAGAGTTGGTTCTGCTCAGACTTAGTGGGAGTTAGGCATATAGGCTGAGATGAGAAAATTGCTTTGCAAGTAGGAACGTAAGTGCAGAAAGATTGCTCTCTAGTGGGACTGACAAAAATTGCAGTACTGGGGACTCCTGGAAAAAAATGAAGACAAATGTTAAGTTAGATTCCTGTGTTTGTACTTGAAGAATATGTGAAGGGATCCTGACCTTCCCTTTCCTGTTGTAAAATGGTTGATGCCTAAAGAGATCTGGTCCACAAGAACTTGACTAAATTCCTGGCCCTTTCTTTTCCATTTAACTTTGTATATGTTTGTTATTGTGACTATATGGTGATTTACTTTAAAAAGACTTCAGTATAAGTGGTATATACTTTCACCTGCGTCTTTTGGATGCTTTGTTTTCATGTGAAGTTTATTGGGGTCAACCCTCCAGAGATGGCTGGGGCAGTTGGTTAGAAAGACTGAACAGGCCCAGGCCCTTGCAAGCCCAGGAGCCCTCTGTCTCCAGAGTCATGCTGGAGGTCTGGACCTGCTGGCTGTGTGATATTCCACTTTAGGGAGACTCCGTTCCCTTGCACAACCGTGAGAGCTGGGCCTGCCACTGAAACATTGTGTCAGCTTCTAAGTGACCCTTTCACTAGATGGTAAAGTGAGATGCCTCATCCCCAAACTATAAGAACAGTTGTATGGCTGTTTTTGTGTCTCCTGGCTAACAAATGTTACATGTTTGGCAGCATTTGGTATAGTGCTTGTTTTCAGTATAATCTACCACCAGTTAGTGAGGTTGTGGAAAAAAGGACACACAATCTCCCAAATTCATCAAGAGAAAGGACAATTGCTGAATGGCCAAACTGGCTTAGATCTGTTGGCGACATTCAGTGTGTCCCTTCCTTTCCATTTATCCATCAAGGAATTACTGAACCCTACCATGCGCCTGTCCTGGGAGTTTGTCCTTGGCTGCAAGCTATTCTCAGGCAGTGACTGGGATGGGATGAGAGAAAGGATGAAACTGAAGGATCCTGGAGCCTAAGAGCTTCCTCTGTACCGAGGGAGGGAGGGTGACATGACCAAGACTTCTAATGTCTTTGGTGGTGGTGGGTGGGGCTGGCAGTGTAGGTGGTTTTGGTTTGATGACAATTCTTGGGCAGCAGCATTTGAGAAGATGATTTGGGAGAAGGGTGGGGAGGAAGAGTGATCGAGTTCTACACAGAGTTGGGGAGGGCAGGCTTCAGGAAACAGGCCTGGGGTGCCAACGTAGATACTGTGATTTTCTTCATTTGGCCACCTGGGTGGAAGGAGGGACAGCAGAGGATTACCAGAAGGGTCCAGTAGTAGCAGTCTAGCCCTCAAGTGCTCCTTCATTCATTCAAGCAGGCTTAATGTATTAAGCACTTATTGTGCCAAGAAGTGTGGTAGCAGTCAGTGTGGACGTGCCGCGGTGTGCAAAGCCACAGATCCCTGATCCAGGAAGCCCACAGCCTAGTGGAGGAGATATATAGTGATCAAACAATCTTACAACTTTTTGTAAAATGCCCATAGTAGATGTTCTGAAGAGAAGCTTTTGGAACTGTGAGCGAAGAATAGGGGAGGCGAAGAGGGTTTGGATAAGGTTTTTCACTCTTCAGGCGCCAAGTCCCCCACACAGTGGATCAGCGCTTAGAAAAAGCCAGGCCTGGGGACCTGGAAGCCCCTGCACCCCTCGCGCGAGTAGGGCCCCGGCCCAGGCCCCGCCGTCGGGGGGGCGCTGCCTCCTCCCGGGCGGCGGGGGGCGCTGCGGTCGGGCGGCGGGGGGCGCTGCCTCCTCCGGGACGGCGGGGGGCGCTGCGGGCCGGGCGGCGGGGGCGGCCCGGGCCGGCGCGGAGAGCCGCGCGGCGGATGGAGAGTCTGGCCGCGGCCGGCGGCGCCGCCTCCTCGTCGGGCCGGGCGCGGCGGGCCGGGGCCTTTGTGTGAGGCGGCGGCGGCGATGGTGCTCGGGGCCCCGCGGAGCCGGGTAAGCGCGGCCAGGCCGAGGACTGCCCCTGGTCGAAGCCCGACCCCCGTGCCGGCATTTCTCTCGCTCTTGCTGGGGTTCTCTTGCCCGCTCCCTTCGGCCGGACCCATCTTCCCCGCCCGCGCGCCGACCCCGGCCGGCCCCGCCGCGCCTCTCTTGGCCTCTTATTCAGCCCCGTGCCCCCGCCAGGCTCACCCGGGTGAGCACTGCGCTGTTTGTGGAGGGACCGAGGCGTTCGGTGCCTCCGGAGGGAGCGCCCCAGCCGATGCAGCGCCCTTCCCTCCCAGATGCGAGTCTCTGGAGGGGAGACCGCGGCGCCCGGAGATTGTTGGGGTGTCCTCGGAAGTTCCCAGCCTCCCCCTCTCGCACCCTCCACTCTGGCTGCCCAGCGCTGCGACCCGCCGATCGTTCAGGGGTGGCCACCAGGGCCCGGGAGATGCTTGGCCGGTACCCCACAATACTCAGACTCTTTCTGGGCCCCAGAAAAAGTTGGGAGTTGTTGGTAGAATCTGGAGAGATGGAGAAAGGGGCTGTGTTGCACACAGTTGTGAGACTGAACAGGGATTCAAGTAGCTCTTCTTCCTTAGTCGTGCAGGAGTCAGAAAGGGCAGAAAGTGGTAGTGAACAAGCCTCTAGGAGTCTTACCTGTATAATTAGAAGTCTTTCTTGCGGCATCAAGTAAATATATGTTAGTGCAGGGCCAACAAAATATAAACCCCGAAAAGGGTGACCAAAAAGAATACAACATATTAAAGTAATATTAAATACTACCACAGTTGTGTTCTGCTTTGCTTTGCTGTACATTCTGAGTGTTTTAACTTCACAGAATACAGGGACTGTGATGGCTCTGGGTTATCTAAAGGCCAGAGAGCAGGTATGTAGTATAGGCAGAGAGAGATGGGGATTCAAGAACATGAGATTTATTTAGAGATTGATTGAGAGGTTGAAGACACAGCAATGACAAAGCTAAAAGATGGAACTAACTTATCTGTTCCTCAGTAGCTAGTGGAGCTTTGATAGTTGTGTTCAAGCATGTGCATGGCATTTGGCATCATGAGGGAAAAGAATATGCTCAATGAAGTAGGAAAGCTTGTATTTGGGAGGAAATGAATAGAGAAATCTGATCCAGTGGCTCTGGTAATGAAGTATAAGATTGTGTCCGAGGGAATGCCTCTAGTTCGTCTCTAGGCACCAGCTTAAGACCAAGCTATCAGATTGTCATCAATCCTTTTGGTTTTTGTCTTAACTCTTTTGAGTATATACAGGGGGAGATGTCCTTGTCTTGTCATAATGGAGGAACTCTCCATGCCAGTTTACTCCTGATCCCCACCCGGGGCTTGGAAACATTCAGAGTGGTGGTATTTTCTCCTGCATAGCCTCTCTTTTGCACGGATGTGTTTGGCCATC